TTTGGAAATCGACAAGTAGCACATGCATATTAGCACATGGATATTCTTGTCCAGTCAGTGTTGGGTGGGCTTAGCCTGATATGGAGCCGCAGAGAACGTGGCCGAGTACATCTGATCAAGGCTGCCGGGCGAGTTGGGAGGCTTGGTGTTCTGTTCTTCGTTTGCAGCTGAGGGACGAAGGTGTTCCCAGTGGTTTCCCACCCTCGCGCCCCAGACCATTCTCCCTCCCGGTTATGATTTCTCTTTGTCTTGCGTCTTGTTATTTTTACCCATAATGGTTTTCTTTTTCTTTTCTTCTTTTTTTGTACTTTCTTTTTTCTTCCTTCCCAGGTCCTCAACATGTCTCATTGAGACCCTTCCCCCTTCAACTCCCCCCTTCTTCGATCCACACACTGTTGGCCTGGCTTTCCTTCAATCTACACCCCCCATACTCTATGCGGCAAGCTCGGCAAGCATACTGTACTGCGCACCGGCGCCCGCCCAAACAATGTGTTTGCCCGCAATCGACTTGTGGTTGAGGCGAGTGACAACCTCGATTTCATCGTCTTTCTGCGCAAGTTGCTTGGTCAGATTGAGACCCCAGGTATAAACCTGGTGGTCGGCCGTGACGGCGAGACTGTGCTCGCTCGCTGCGGCGACGCATGCGGGCGCAAGCCCTTTCAACATGGTGGGGACTCGGAGAAAACTTGGTTTTTGTCGCGAGTCGAGAACAACGGACGGCGGCGGCAACGCGTCGATTTGGTGGCCGGTGGCGAAAGAGTACAGACGGCCCCAGGTAAGGCACTTTCCGGCCTGGGTTACCGCGATGCTGTGGAAGTTTCCGCCGGTGATTTGAGTGATGCGGCCCAGCCCCTCGAGGTCTTTAATTCGGGCTGGCAAGAGGACGGTGACTGTACTTTCGTATGCCGATTCGTCTTCACCATAGTTGCCGACGGCTCCTGTTTGGCCGGCGTTGTTAAAGCCCCAGCCGTAAACAGCGCCGCTGCGGTCAGCGGCAAAAGAATGGTTTGCGCCGGCCCCGATGTCGGTCACCGTTTTCAATCCAAAGATGGTGCGTGGAATAAGTCCGGCTTTTCTCCAGTCTACTATCCTGGATGAGAAGCGGTGGCCGAGCTGGCCGTCGTTCCCTCTCCCCCACGTGTAAACAGAACCGCCGGCGGTGAGGGCCATGACGTGGTTGCTTCCACAGCAGATCTTGACAACATTCTTAACGGATCGAATCAGGGCCGGACGAGATTGCACCTCAACCGTCGAGGAAAAGGCCAATTTGCCATCCTCTGACTGCAAAGCGGTTAGCGCACCGGGCTCACTCAACTGGCCATGCAGTTCGTGGCTTACTCGGAAAGCGCCCCATCCGTAGACGAGACCGGTGCTGGTGAGCACAAAAGTGGCATTATCGGCGGCAGCGACCTGTGTGAAATCGATGTCGGCTGACACACTGGTCATGTCGACTGCCGTCGGGGTTGACTCAATTGGGTTCAGCTTGGCTCCGTCGTCGCTATCGGTATCACCGTCGTCGCTGTCGGCATCCCTCATGTCCTCATCTTCCCAGGACGTATCGCGTCCGAGCGCGCCGTGGTCGTTGACCCCCCAGGTGAGCACTTTATTGTCCAAGGTGAGGGCGACGCCATGCATGGCGCCGAGCGAAACCTGGACGATGCCGGCAGAGCCAGAGAGGTAAGGGTTCAGGCGTGGTCGGGGGACATCTCCGGAACGTGCTGACGGACCAAGTCCCAGCTCCCCACCGCTGTTGGCGCCAAAGACATAGATATTCAAGGGCTGCTTGGGCTTCTCCGGCTTTGCATTCAGCTCGGCTGTCGTCGTCTTTTGTCGCTTGCCTCGATCCGTTCGATCTCTCCGATCCCCCCGGGCAGACTCGTCATTGTCTCGCTGTCTCTTGGCCGAGGCCGCTTGGCTTTTTTTTGTAGCCGCTGTCCGCATCGTTTAGCTTGGGCCGGGCGAGGATGGATGTGGAGCTTTCCCAAAGTTTCAATGGGTTTCGAGCTGCCCCAGGCATTTGCGGCGCATTGAGTTAGCGTTTCGCAAGCACTGAGTGCACTGTGTGTGTATCTTTCTGTGGGGCCTCTTCCCCTCCCTCCCACCGAGGCACCCCACTTGACGGGAGTCACGCAGACCATCCACGCAACATTTCAACTGTCACATAGCATTCGCTCAAGCAACGAGCCCTTCTCTTCATCATTCCAACAGGTTCATTTCTAGAGAGACCATCGCGGCCTCTGACAAGATCCCACTGCCCGTCACCATGATTGACCAACCCATTGACCATGGCGCGCTGGAGCATCTCCTCCCCGTGTCCTTCAAGACACAAATCACCTCGTGGCTGGCCGAAGACACACCGTCTTTTGATGTAGGCGGTTTTGTCGTCGGCGATGCCCGGCGTACTGCCACCCTGTGGGGGAAATCGACTGGAATTCTGGCCGGCATCCCTTTCTTCAACGAGGTCTTTGCCCAGTGCGGGTGCACGGTGGAGTGGCACTCGCGCGAGGGCGCCCATGTCGAGACGCACGGTGGCAAGACGGCGCTGGCGACGGTCGAGGGCCCCGCCCGGGGTCTGCTGGAGGGCGAGCGCGTGGCGCTCAACATCCTGGCGCGCTGCTCGGGCATTGCCACCATGAGCCGCCGGCTGCTGGTGAACCTGCGCACTGCGGGCTACAAGGGCACGCTGGCCGGCACGCGCAAGACGACGCCTGGGTTCCGGCTGGTGGAGAAGTACGGCATGTTGGTGGGCGGCGCCGACACGCACCGCATGGACTTGAGCACCATGACCATGCTCAAGGACAACCATGTGTGGAGCCGCGGGAGCATCACCGACGCTGTCAAGGCGGCCAAGGCGGCGGGCGGCTTTAGTTTGAAGGTCGAGGTTGAGGTGCAGAGTGAGGAAGAGGCCGACGAGGCCATTGCCGCCGGCGCCGATGTCGTCATGCTCGACAACTTCACGGGCGAGGGTGTCAAGGTGACATCGCGAAGCCTCAAGGAGAAATGGCAGGGCAAGAAGCAGTTCTTGCTCGAGATTTCGGGGGGGTTGACCGAGGACAACGCCGAGCAGTACATCTGCAACGGTATGGGCCCTTCTCAAAATGAGCTGTGTGTCGGATGTACTGACCCGTTTTCTAGATATCGATATCCTCTCAACGAGCTCGATTCACCAGGGTGTGCGCCACGTCGACTTTTCTCTCAAGATCGACCTCGACACGGAAGGCGGGCCGAAGCTGTCGAGCTGAGCGGCCTGCTTCGCTGATTTGTTGAGAAAACGGTTTGGATTAGACAGAGAATCACAATCACGGCACCCGCCTGCCTTGGGAACTAGCGACCATTACAGTGATGAACAATACATATGTGCTCCGAGTTACAAGACTGCACCGCTTGTCTACGAGAGATCTGAACTTTGGCATGGACAGGAGAAAGATATGACCGGATTAGGAAATACAAGGCTTCTCGCCGTTACCCCACGGGGAATCAGCAGCCACCCGCCGAGCGGTCCAGGGGCGGTGTGGCTTCCCGCATACACCGAGTCCACGTCCCGCTCAGCCTTGCCTACGCCTTCTTTCATCCGGCCCCTCAAACATCAAACTTGGGATCCCACAATGCCACACCGGTGACAGCTTTTGCGGCAACACGCCGCGGGAGACATGCCACCAGCCGCCCTACCACCTCACTTCATGCACGGGTCGCGGCATGTCAAAAGAGGAGTGGGTGTTAGGAGGTCGTGTGCGGAATGGCCTCGTTACGCCTGGGGCCCGAATGCCTATAAGATGCCGGTCACTGGCACGAATTCAGTTGACGCTTCCAGAGCACAAACACTCTGGTTCTGAAAGATCAGGATCTCTGCCCGACAAACTCGGATCTTCCCCATTCTCAGCGGCTGCTCACTCAGCCCTTTTGCTCAACCAACATGCCATTCGAAGACAACACGAAGATGGCCATTTCCATGGACTGTTTGGGCGGCGCTCCTCCCCCCCTCGACCTGCTCAGTGTTGGACACGAGGTGAGCTCCGAGAAAGGGAGCTGCCACATCGGCAATGCGCCGGCTACCATTGACGATGCAAACATGGACGGCACCCAGACTGGCCGCGGGATGGAAGGGGTCAGTGGAGACGAGACGCTGGACCATGGTTCGCGGGGCGCCGACTTGGTGTTTGGATGTTTCGGAGGAAAACCAACCCAGGCCGAGTGTTCTGATCTCGTCTCGGAAGAGGCAGAAGTGAGCGTGGCTGTGATGGCGAGCGAGGGGGAGCATACGCCGCCGGGGTATCCGCCCTGGAACCGCCTCGGTATCCAGGCCCCCCATGGACATGCCCCTGAGAGAGCGTTTTCAGGAAATCTTATGGGCGATGGAGTTGACGGCTCCTATTCCTTTGCTCCCCTGCCCGTTGAGAAGTACACGGGTCTGTCGTGGTGAGTTATGCCCCTCCCAGATACCTGCCGGTCCAATCATGGAGTCACTAATTGAAAGAAAGCGTCCACGACGACGTCGAGACGTGCCGGACGTGCGCAGCTCAATCGAGAGCAGAGCGGTTTTGGTCGGCCGGCGTAGCCCTGCTCGGTAACCCGCCCGATGGGGAGCACAGTTCTAGAAAGCGCGCCAGGGCCCCGCGTCGTCATTACAGGGGAGATGAACAAACATATCCGTATCCGCCGCGGACTAACAACAGGTCTCCCGGATTCGGCCCAGGGGATGCCTCAATGATGGTTCCCCGAGGTGTGGGAGAGCAGGCATCGCTTGCTACGTTCTGGCTGTGAAGTGGTTGGTTGGGTTAGAACCGGAATGATGCTGCTGGGGTCGAGCCCATGCCTGGTGTATCTGGTCCGTAGGAAAACCCCGATCTTCCAGTTCCCATACAATGCGTTTGACCGACCCACGGGTCTTCCTTGATGGTTACACCGCAGCTTGCTAGGCCCTGTCTGTTCTGTGCTCGAGTTGGATAAACGAGAAACCCGACAAAAAGGGTTGGTTGTTCGCAAACAAGCAAAACAAGAACCGATCGACCCAGGGGTCGAGCCTGGAACCTCCTGATGACTTTTTGATCTCTTGAAGATCATCTCGTTCCAATTGATCGTGTCGTAGTCAGACGCTCTGCCATTGAGCCAGCGGACCTGCTGATTTGCTGAGAGTGTCTTGGTTGCCGAGTGACTCTTACGCCGCTAGCTAATAGGGCGCACAACAGCCGCCTGAGTTACAAGACTTTTTTTGGGCCTCACCTTCCCCCTTCCCCCTTCATCCCCAACCACACACCAAAAACCGAGGGATGAACATCGCACATTCAACCCAATCACACTTCAAGGCGCTCGGCACAAGTAAGCTTCTCGCCATTCCACACCGGCAAAAACTAACTCCAAGCAATAAGACGGGGAAAACTCCCGACGCGAACAAATTGCATTGCCCCGCTCCACTCACAGCAACCGCAAAAACACAGGCTCAAGATGACGGACCAGAAACCAATTATCGAGCTCGATGGCAGAACAGGCGAAGGCGGCGGCCAGCTCGTGCGCATAGCAAGCGCTCTCGCCGCCGTCGCGACCCAGCCCATCCGCATCACCAACGTGCGGGGCAACAGGGGCGACGGTTCGCGAGGTGGAGGTCTGCACCATCCCATCCCCATCCATTCCAGTCCAGACCCCTCCCTAACAAGACCAATCAGGCCTCAAATCCCAGCACGTCACCTCCCTCGAGTACCTGGCCCTCGCCACCGGCGCCTCCACCAGCGGCCTGGCCGTTGGCAGCCACACCCTCGAATTCCGGCCCACCCTGCCCCCGTCATCCGTCAAGTCCCGCACCATCGCCGTCAGCGCCGACTCCCCCGCGGCCTCGACGATGCTCATCTTCCAGGCCGTCTTCCCGTTCCTGCTCTTCGCGGGCAGCGACAAGGGCGAGCCGATCAGCCTCGAGATCTCGGGCGGTACCAATGTGTCCTTCTCGCCGAGCTACGAGTATCTGGACCAGGTGCTGCTGCCGGCGCTGGAGGAGGCGTTTGGCATTGTGGTGGAGAGGAAGCTGCACCAGAGGGGATGGAGTCTGGGGAAGGCGTCGCGGGGCAAGGTCGAGTTTCGGTTTGTTCCGTTGAAGGTCGGCGAGGCGGTCAAGTTGCGCGAGGGATTTGGGGGGCATGGCGGTGGGGAGGACGAGGTGGAGGAGGTGGATGTGTCGATGGTTGTGCCCCGCGAAATGCACGAGTCCTTGACCGAGGCGCTGATGACCGACCTCGGGGAGCTGTTCTCCGGAGCGGAGGTCAACTTCAAGATTATCGAGGACAGCGGCGCTGATTCGAGGATATATGTTCTGCTGGTGGCCACGTCGGGACGCGGCACGCGGTGGGGAAGGGATATCCTCTCATCCACGCCAAAAAAAGGGAAGCCCAAGGGCAAGGGCGGGACGCAAACTACCAACTCGTTGAGCGAGACCATCTCCCGGCGGGTATCTAAGGAGCTGTACGAAGAGGTGTCGACTGGCGGCGCGGTGGACGAGTTCTTGCAAGACCAGCTGGTCATCTACCAGGCGCTGGCCGAGGGAAAGACCTCATTCTTGCGGCCCGAGGAAGAAAGTGGCAGGCTGGAGCAGGCGATGGACGGGCTAGAGATTGATGGCCAGCGCATGCGCAAGGACAAGACAGACAAGCCGTTTGGCGAAGGGAGTACGCATACAACGACGGCGCGGTGGGTGACGGCCCAGCTGCTGCCAAGCGTTGGGTGGTACAACAAAGGCACGGTCTGTGAAGGGGTCGGGATGCGTATGGAGCCGACGGGGAAGACGCGGTAGAGGGCCTTTTGCTGGGCTTGTTTCGGGTTGGGATGGAGTCTCATAAGAGCGGTTCTTCTGTCCTTTGGGGCGCTAGTTAGGCGATACCGCAGATGTAACGTAATAATGACAGTGTGGCTTTGTGAAACAAGATCTCAAGGCAAAGGTGCTGCTAGGGAGACTCACAAGACATGTATATGTGGCGGTGAAATATAGCTGGGGAGCTCATCCCGCCCCTTCACTTGAGACGGCACCTCGCACGATTTATCTATACCGTTCATATTCTTCGGCCTCCTTCTGCCGCGCTTCAACTAGCTCAATCGTTTCAGCATCGTAGAGATCCGCGAGGCTCCTGTCCCCATGAAGCACCTCCTTTTGGTGCCGCACGGCTTCCTCCTTGGTCATACAGACCAGATCACGGAGTCTGAGGTTGGATGACTTTTGCTCAGCAGGCTCCTCGCCAATCCGGACGAGGGTAGTCCCTTGGGGCCTCTTCCACCGGATCAGCATGAGCTTGGTTGGAATACCAGTGATGGCGCTTCTGCCCCTGAAGGCTTCTTCTACCAGGAAGGAAATGTCTCCGGGAGTGATTGGGACTTTGAGACCGATGCAGACATCAGTCGGGCCGCCTTCTATCGCGCGGACCATCTTCTCCTCGCTGGCTTGGACGTAGGCCAGGATGGCGTCGTACATCTTATCGCGGGCCTTGGCCGGCTGGTAGTCGATAGGGTAGCCTGGGCATCGTCAGTACAGCTGTCGGATACCGCCACCGGGCTCGACTCACCGGAAATCTTCAGAATAACGTGGTTCGCGACCGTGTACCCAAAGACGGCCGGCATGGTTCCCAGCACCGGCAGGATCCGCACCCGAAAGTCAGCCAGCACCCCCAAATCGCCCACCGATCCCTTCTTGAACTCCTCGTCGGAAAGAGGCAACAGCGCAGCCTTACCCGCGCCCATCTTCTCGGTCGAGTACACCACCGGAATACCACTGACTACGCCCTGCAACTTCAGCCTCCTCCTCGTGGCCCTCGACAGGCCATCCTCAAAGCTCGCCCCAATATCTCCGACCATGACCCTCGTCGGATCACTCTTCGTCCCGGCCCCCATGGCCGAGATAACCGGCAGCCCCTCGTCATGGCAATACTTCAACAACTCCACCTTGCTCTCAATGTTATCAATCGCATCAATCACAAAGTCCGGCCTCCGGGCGCCGTCCCCCTCCCAGCCCTCCAGCACCTGCCCCGCCACGCGACCCTCGAATTTCTGCAGCCGCAGGTCGAACCGCACCCACGGCGTGGCGGCGACCAGACGCCGCTGCAGGACCTGCACCTTGGGCAGCCCCACGTCGGCCAGCGTCGCGACCGCGTGCCGGTTGAGGCTGCTCAGCGTGACCTGGTCAAAGTCCACCAGCCGGATCCGCGCCACGCCGGACCGCGCCAGCGCCGCGCACGCGTGGCTGCCGACGCCGCCGCACCCGACAATCACCACGAAGGCCTCGCGCAGGCGGGCGAGGCCGTCGTCGCCGAGGAAGACGCGGTTGCGCGCGAGCTGCTCGAGGATCAGCTCGTCGTCGAAGTCGCCGGCCTGGGCGCGGGCGGCGAGGGTCTGGTTGTGCATGTCTTCGCGGTCGGGTTTGGGGAGGGGCCCGACGGGGGCGACGGTTTGGAGGGCGGGGTCGTTGGCGCTGCTGTCGCCGTCCGGGATGGATTGCTTGAGGCGGGAGACGCGGTCGCCTTGCTGGAGGCGCTGGTAGCTGAGAAGGGCGACGGCGGCGACGGTGGCGGAGACCACTGCGGTTGCGGCCAGCTGGACCTTGGGGTTGGACGTGAGTGAGGATGCCATTGTGCGGTGGGTGTTGGCGTCGGGATGGAATTATTGAATTGGGTGGAAGCGCATGGCTTTGGGCTCCTGGATAGCGCAGTAAACGGAGCGACCGAGTGGCGTTGTGTTGGGTAGGCTGGTCGGGTTGTTGGAATTGGGTTGAATCCAAAAAAGAAAAAAGAAAAAGTCCACAATCTCATCCGACAAATCAGTGATTTCGTCATCCCGCGCAGACTGGGTTGTCCCGTTACCTGGTGGGGCTAGCAGACCCCTGTCAGCTCTTAACATAATCCCATCTTCTATGTAACTATGTAATTAACAAACCCCTCGAACGCATGCATACGGATACATACTTATCGACAACAACATCCGAGTGCAAAACCACACAGCACACTGCCCCACCATGCATCGTTGAGCGTGTTCCGGCCCCTCCAGCGTCGTCCAATAAACCGCCCGCTCGTCGCGGCGTCGGCGGTTGGGGATCGATCCGAGCATCGTACTCGGCTTGATGAAGCGGACCATGCCGATGGCCGTTCGCGCAAGTATGGATGGCACATGGCTGAATCTAAACCCCCCTTGGCTGTACGAAGGCGAATACGAGAGACATTGCCCACATGGCTTCACGTAAGTCGCATTCGGGTTCGCTCCCGATTTCGATATATATGTACGCCTCTACTGCATCCTCCACGCGGACCTCATCCATTCCATATTCGACACAATGACCTCCGCTCAGGGCAAGACAGCCATCATCACCGGCGCCGCTGGCGGGCTCGGCAAGGTCATTGCCGACACCTTCCTCGCAGCAGGTGCCAATGTGGTCATATGCGACGTTAACCCCCAGCGGATTGCCGCGGTCGAGGAGGAATGGACCAAGACCTACGCCGACCGGTTTCTCACACAGCAGACCGACGTCACGGATGAGGCCGCTGTCCAGAAGCTCATCGACGCTGCCGTCACCAAGTTCGGCCGCCTCGATATTCTCGTCAACAATGCCGGCATCATGGACGACTTCTCCCCGGTTGGCGCCTGTTCCAAGACCCTCTGGGACCGCGTGCTCAACATCAACTTGAACGGGGCCTTCCTCACGTCCAAGGCGGCCATCGGTCAGTTTGAGAAGCAGGAACCTGTCGGCGGCATCATCGTCAACATCGGGTCCAACGCCAGCTACCTCGGCTTCAAAAGCGGCGCCGCCTACACCGTCTCCAAGGCGGGCGTCATGGCTCTCACCAAGAGCACCGCCGGCTCCTACGGTGATAAGGGCATCTACTGCGTCGCCCTGCTGCTGGGCGGCATGCAGAACACCAACATCGTCGACGCCTTCGCCCAGGGCATGCACATGGAGAATTTCCAAAAGGTCATGGCCTCGCAATCGCCCTCTGGGCCGGAGAAGAGTGTGCCCCTTGAGAGCGTCGCCAAGTACTGCCTCTTCCTCACGGACAGTGACATCTCTCACAGCGCCAATGGGTCGTGCATCGTGTTTAACAAGAACTGGCCCGAGGCCTAGGGAGCTGGCAATGCACGCAAAGGAGGAGTCGTTTC